CATCATAGCGTCTTTGTGCTCTGATGTAATGGTTATTCCATTCTGTTTTTATTTGATCAAGTTCTTGTTGGATGATTTTCATAAAACAGAAGCGAAGGCATTCTCTAAATTGGTAAATTTTAAATGTCAATTTTGAAAACAAGAAAAAAAATCAGGGTGAAATTTTTCCTGTAAAAAAATGTTTATATTTCTTAATATTTCTTTAATTAGAAAAACACTTATAAATGGTTGGTTTAGTCTTAGTCATTAGGATTTAGGTAACATGCAGAAATATCATAATAGGTTATAAATGCGTAAATTCTTAATTTTTTAAAGTATAAATAAAGAATTATTTACATGTGCTCGTTATTTGCTGATGAGAACATCCCTTGGTCTTTCATGTCTTTGAACAAGTCTATCCAAAAGGAGATGCCCATCTCTCTCAGTGTTCTCCACCAGCGTTCAATTCTCTTAAATCAAAATGTGTTTTTGAAAAACTGAAGGCTGATTTTTCAAAAGTAGGTCAAACTTCAAGGTTATTGAGTACAAATGTTGGTACATTCACAAGGAACACACAACTTCCCTAGGATCAACCGTTCAAAGTTATGGCCAAGGTCAAAGTTTTACAAAAGTAGGTTAAACTCCAAGACAGATTTTTTTTTACAAGAAATACACTTGAGAAATACGAAATCTTTAACATCAACCATTCAGAAGTTATGTCCAAAATTAAAGTTTTTTCATAAGTAGGTCGAACCCTATGGTCAAGGTCATTAGGTCAAAAAATGCTGGTGCATTAAGGTCTTTGCAGATAAAAATACAGACAGACCCAAAGCTATGTGGATAAGGCCCCCGAATCTTGAATCATAGGGGCATAAAACAATCACATAAATTAGTCATATATTAATTTCATAATGATACAGAAACAATAATATGTATATCAAATTATGTGCAGAGATATTTTAAATCATTAAACTGACTTCATTTTCAAATATTTGACAACAGGTTTCTTGAAAGGGGTATAGAGAGGGGTATGGGAGGGTTATCCCTCCCCTGGGTCAGAAAATTTATAAAAATGCATACACGTCTGTTGCATTCTGGGGGTCATTTTTTTCAAATGTGAAATAAACATATAAATAGCAAAACTTTAAACAAAATATTGGTGTTTTCAGGGGTTGCAATTGCATCCCCTCCCCCCCCCCCCACGATGGCTCTGTAGTATAACTAATACTATAAAAAGAACTGTGTCACTCTATTAAATGAAACGGATGCAAATAATGAAAGTATGAAGTTTGCAAAACTTATCATTTTTAAAATTATCTGTGGTATCAGATTACACAATGACACCTATGAAAGATAATAATATGAAGAATTTTTTTGGTCTTTGAAAAGTAATAGTGAAAATAATCAGTTGATCTATTTTCCCTCAGGAAAAATGTTCAGAAAAGTAGAGAGTTTGAAAAGAAACTTAAATGAGGATTACACATACAAATTTTTAAAGTATTCAATTACTTCAGTTTTTTGATCTTATATTAAGGACATACGCAACATACCTTACCTACTGATAATTTTTCAAGATATTCTTAATTTAAGATTATAGTGTCATCAGATGTTCATAGACAAAACATTAGCATGCATTACCAGGGGTTTTAAAAAGATATCAAATGATGAAAATTCTTGTATAATGCAAAGAAAAATATCCAAAAATAACTAAACATATATTCTAAATGTTTTGATTACCCAAAATTGTTGAAGAAAAAGTGTACAACAGAAAATATGGACATTAAAGTTTAGCACACAGTTCTTTTAAGTATTGTAACTCTTCAACTCCAGGGAAAAAGACAATAAAGTTCAAACTACGTTGTGTATGTCCTTAAGTTGGGACTAACTGAATTGACTGTGATTGGAGTAGTAGACCATTCAGATTTGATCAAGCCCCCCCCCCCCCAATTTTCAAATCAAAGGGCAAATTACTCTAACTTCTACTGCAGGAGTGTTAACTGGAATTGGAACTCAGTCCTAGGTGTGCAGATTTTAGAAGGTTATTAAACTCATCTGATTTGTTTATACAACATAAGTTACTAAATCATATTGTTATTTAAAAAACAACTTCATATTCATACCTGGTTAGACATTGATCTTCCTTTGATAAACTTTTTTCTCCACACATGTCATCATTATCGTATCAACGGAAGGATTTTTGAATGCCCTCAATGTATATAATCTCAGTTCCAGCATCAAGTCTCACACACCTTGGAGCACCTATGTATTGGAAAACTCATACTACCATGAACTGAGACAAATATGGTTTCTTTGTTCAAGTAAATATTTTTTTACAAAAATAATGCATTTTATGTGTATTTATTCTGTATCAATACAAAATAATGTATTTAGAATGTTACTTAGTAGAAAATTAACTTGTGAAAATTAAACTGCATTTACAGTTTCAGGAATATATTTATCATTGATTTGTAAAAATTATATACTCAACTATTTATTTCCTCCAGGTATTTCAAGAAATATGATGCTACAACAAAAGAGTCATTGTTTGTTTTTGCAACTTTAAGCCATAGTATTCGTCTTGAAAATCTGAAAGGATAGGAATTTGATCATTTAGATTAATAGTTGATATTGTTTTCTGATATGTAGCTACAACAGTATATAACAATCATAAATTCTATAACTTCATAAATTCTTGTTATCTTACATGACTCAAATGAACACTAAAAACTGATGCACATTAACTTACCCACACATTGCACCATGTATAGCGAAGCCAAATGGCTTCAACATGTCGTACCCATCAACATGTGCAAGATAATTTGGTCCATTGCTTAGATACATTCTTCTTGTCAAGCAGTGACTTGCTCTTAGATCAACTCCATCAGGATCGATTATTCTCAATAAACACATGTTATCCCTGGAACAGTATATATATATATAATTAATCATCAACGATTTTAAATCTAACCATTACATTTTAACAAAAAAAATGAATTCAATGAAATTATTATAAATATCTTATTTATATAAAACTCATTATAAGCAATAAGCACATCGTTTGAATTCTGTTTATTAATCATAATAAGATAATATACCTTCCTATAAAGATGCCATGTTTCTGAAGAAGTCTTCGTTTCATCGAACGACACCCAAGAGTCTGTCCACTTAACATCATTTCTTCCTTTGAGTAGAATATATGTAAATCATATGAAATTTTTAACATTTGTATGAGTTAACTAAAAATAATGAGCTATCATCAAAATGTAGATGTTACTGACGATTTTTCTAGATTTGATCAATCTATCAAAAAAGAAAGATGAAATAAAACACAAGCAATATTACCTGAATAGCCCTTATTGCCATATCCACATTGTATGATCTCCGTCTTCTCAAATTAAGTCTGGTCATGCGCCTTTTCAAATGTCTACAGCTTAATTATTTTAAAAAATAATGCATAAAATATACAGTGGCTGCAACGTTATTGTTGACAAACCAATCGTGTAGAATCGTTCGTGTAACGTGCGTGATCGAGATCGTGCGTGTATCAGACTCAATCGTTAACGGTTTTAATCGTGCGTGATCGTGCGTTAAGAAACGTGTAAATTTCGCTTTGTAAGTTTTTATCGGAATGTAATTTGTAATACAAGTATTTCGCTTGTCTGGTTTTTTTTCCATCCAAATAAGATAATTGAAGCGCGATTTACATAATTGAAAGTAGAAAGAAACAATTATCGCTTGGAAATAAGAAATATAGTAAGTCGTACAATATTGCGTTCTCGTCAGATACCGTGATTTTTTGTGATAAACCGTACTTAGATGTTTAAGGATTTTATTCTCTGATGTTAATTTTGTTTACCGCTAATTATGGTGAATATATTTTTAAGGATTTTTTTCTCTTAAAATCAATAGATTAAAATAGATATTTTTACAAATAAATACACAATTCTCAATGCTTACATAAATATTTAGTCAGCGAATGTACATGTTCATGACATGATTGTCAGGGTTTCGTTTATCAGAGTTTATCTCTGGAGCTTACTTTTAATTATTTTTATAATATCTGCAAATAAATGATTTGTAAAATAACTGTTGATTGTAGAGATTCACAAATGGAAACACGGATATAACTTATAATTTAATTCATTTTCATGCCATTTTTTTTCTCAAACTTATCCATATCTGCATATTATAAAATCCAATTCAATCAAAACTCACGGTCCACCTACGTGTACATCTTCTGATAGAACGAAAAAAAATCAATTTTCTTAAGTCGGAGAATTACGTAAATAATTATTTGTATTTAGTTCCAGAAATATCCATTTCTATTTTTTTTATTCATTTTTCAAAGTCGGTGAAATGATATCAATAATTATTTGAAATCTAAAATAAGTATTTAGCCTTGTTTCGTTTTGAAAATATCCATTCCTAAAAAAAATTGAACTATTTTGCGTGAAGAATAGTGCGTTTGCGTTAGCAATCGTGTAAGATCGTGTAACGTGTAGAATCGTGTGCGTGAAGGATCGTTCGTGTAACAGATTTTATCGTGCGTTAATCGTGCGGAATCGTTCGTGTAACGTGATCGTTCGTGTAAGTTGTCAATAATAACGTTGCAGCCACTGTATCTTAAAATGGGAGATTTTAACTTCAATCACTATTTCTTAAATAACAGATATATACATACAAGTAGAACACGCATATAAACAATCTTTGAATGAGACTATAAATTTAATGTATAATAACTTTATTACTCTTAGAGAAAATATTAGCCTATACAGGTACTTATATTATCATAACTTATGACAATTAATAATACCTACCTTATTTTCACACCATAATTACTCCAAAGAAGGAATATGATTTCTTTATTATCGTATCCGTTGAAGAAATATTCTTGAATCTTTTCGTCAACAAACGCCATGTTGTGCAATGACTGCTGGGAATGTTATCCGGTTATAGAAAGTACTAGTCGATAGAGCGATGGTGCGATGACACGATGACGATAGTGCGATAAAGCAATAACGATGACACGATATAGCATCGCGTCATCACTATCGCGCCATCGCATCATCGCTATCGCACCATCGCATCATTGCTATCGTGCCATCGCGTCATCGCGCTATCGCTTCATCGTACCATCGCATCATCGTCATCGCATTGTCGTGCCATCGCATCATCGCCATCGCGCTATCGCTCCATCGCTTCATCGTTATCGCACCATCGCTTCATCGTCATGGCATTATCGCGTCATCGCACTATCGACTCAAACTTCGATGGTGCGATGATGCGATAGTGAACTGCATGGCCCTATCCGGATTCCATACTTTCCACATAAATAGTTTCCATTGGATTGCTAAATTAGAAATACTTTGGACCGAACGCTAAAGCGGTGCATTCGTCCGGGCTGAAATTTACAGCTTGTTGTGGTTTCTGTGACATTTCCAACATAAACAGTTTCCTCATGTCGCCATCCATTGAATCGTGAAGAAGAAATAACAACGTCGAAACCAACAATTAGACGAGCGATTGGTGAGAGGTCCCGGACGATCGCGTATTTTTTTTTTGGGGGGGGGGGGTATGTTTTTCCAATCAAAAGCTCATTCAAATGATACAAATCAGGAGCAGAGGAAACACGAACCTCTAAAACAGCAGAGGTGGGAACAGGTGCCTGAATGTGAAAATACTACATGTACCTAAAATACACAACAGGAGTGACCTTTAACTCTGCCTTTCCAGTACTTTAATAAATAGAAAGCGACTCCATCATGTATGAATTTTTAACATCCGGTGATGTCAATACATTCAAGGTTGTTTTTTCGACCTCTGACGGAAAGGCCCGAGATGATGCGATTGGTGAGAGTTCCCGGGTTCAAGTCTTGGACCCACCCCCCACCCCGGAATTTGAAGAATTATTAAATGTACATACTGAAGCAAATAAAAAATGCCAATATGGATACATAGATTTGATTGTTTAATTATTTTTTAAAATGTGTACTGAAGATTCTTTTTATATAAAATATTTATCATACTGTAATAATGACTTTAAGTTTGTACATGCAGACGTCATAACTTCTTCATTTCATATGTTGAATAATATCATTTAGGAAATCAAAGAAAAAAATATTTCAAAAAAAATACGGGGTTTCGAAATTTGAACCCGGGACCTCTCACATCCAAAGCCAGAAACTTACCCTAGACTAACGAGGCACGTGACATTTATACAACTCAAAAGCAAATACTAAGTCACATATACATGTATATACTCACGTTTGATATTGTCAAAATTTTACAAAACACTAATTTAGCTTTTACTAAACAGTTCTTATAGATGTTATTAGAGTATAAAATCCGCCGACAATCTGTATTATATGTAATAACTCTCCACATATTCCTGTGCTATAAATAGTGTCACGCGACCTTTAATACAAACGGGGAGTCACTCTAAAACTTAGAGCGTAATCGATGCCAACACATTTCCAATTGACTTTTGAAAAAAAAATTGATCAAAATAAAAAAACTGGGCGGGACACTTTGAGAGGAGCAGGCGGGGCCATAGGGAGTTAAGGTATAAAATTTCAATGCAAAAGCTCAAAATCTTCTTGAGATATCGCCCGAAAAATGTTACATACAGACAACCATGACCTTTGTCCTTTAGACCTCAAAATCAATAGGGATCTTCCTTGGGCCATATAGAGTTTTGGTATAAAATTTCATTGCAAAAGCTCAAAGGCTTCTTGAGATATCGCGCGGAAACAAAAATGTTAAAACAGACAGAATTTATGAATTTTTTACCTTGACCTTTGACCTTTTGATCTCAAAATCAATAGGGATCTTCTTTAGGCCATAGAGAGATGCTATGTAAAATTTCATTACAAAAGCTCAAAGGCTTCTTGAGATATCGCACGGAATCGAAAGTGTTACATACAGACAGAAATACAGACGGACGGACGGGCAGACAGACCCAAACTAATATCACCCACTTTCAGTGAAAGCGGGGGACAAAAAAAATACAGGAATTGATTATATTAGACAATGGTATGTTGGAATAACGTTGTATCAACGTTAACATTTCGACAAACACCAACGTTTGACCAACGTAATAATTATGTTTTGAACTGGGATCCAGCGTTGGGCCAACGTTCCAACATATTGAGTTGGCATTGGTATGTTGGAATAACGTTGCACCAATGTTGATTATATAAACAAACAGCGTTGTATCAACAAAGGACTAACATGTTGGGCCAACGGCGCGGCGAGAAGCGAAAGGACATTAAACCAACGTTAAACCAGCATTTTGCCAACATAACCAAAATTGTTTGGTCGATGTCATCATGTTATCTGGGAAACGGCCCCTCGGTAGATCAACAAAAAATAAATATCCGAATTTTACACTTATTTTTACGCATAAGATAATATGTAAGATATATAGCTTAATTTCAGGTAGGGATACACTGTTTATATCCAATTCCCATATAATTTTTTGCCCCGCCCCACTATACAAAGCTCTTAAAAAACAAGATAGCAATTAGGTACATTTTTCTCTACCGGCTGGTCACTTTATTTTAATACTTTCATGTAAATTAGTTGAATCTGAGTTGTCGAGAAACATTTTTTAAAAAACACTATTACCCGCTAAATATTGGAGCCACGCCATCCAGCGTAGCAACAGTTAACATTGCTTGACGACGGGTGTATCCCAAAAAATATTGACTGCGCAGAATTCATGCGCGCTAGGTTCATTGTTATAGGTATACGGGACTGGGTGTGCTGTAAAACTGCCCAAAAACCTTAGGTAGAGATGGTAGACTTCCCTTTCAACATGTTCAAGTTGTCGACCCCCCCCCCCTTTTTTTTTTACAGAGTCCTTGATCCGTTTTTGCTATATATCCTCACACTAGTACTTAACATACCCAAGATGTAATACTCTCAAACTATGAAGATCAAACAACATGATCAACGTAACTATACAATGGAATAGTCTTTAATGTGGTCTTCATGCATTCTTTAATCAGTTAATATTGGGCTGAAATTGGCTGCTGAGGCGTCAGTTTGAATTCGAAAACATCCGTAATCATGATCAATAAAGATAAATAACGAATCGAGTTATAATTTTTAAAACCTTAAAACAGCTGTATATATAAAACCTTTAAAATTCTCAAAACTTACCAGTACCTCTTATCCTGTATTTTTAAAAATTTTCCGGGTGTCTTACAATCTCTTACCAGAGGGCGTGTTACGCTTCGCTACAACATGAGGTATTAGTGAAGCGTAGCGGGAACGATGACTCTGGGTAGAGATTGGGTGTCTTACTGCGCATGCTTTAATTTACTTTGGCGAATTCGTACTGAATTCATATTAATTAATCACTGATTTTGTAAAATGCATATATTTACCTTCCTTGTTATTTATAATAGTTATTAATGATATCTGGTAGTGCGACTTTTTCAAGTTCGAACTCGTTATCGTCCGACAATGTTATAGTCCGACACTATTATAGTCCGAATTATCAGACGTTTTAATTGAGGGGGCACAAGCATATAGTATCTATGTTTACTATGGTAATCTATATATCGGCCAAATTATTGGGGGGGGGGGGGAGGGCACGCCATCCGTGCCCCCCCCCCGGTTCCTACGGCCATGTAGGCAAAGGATACCACAAGAGAGTGGATGGGCCCCAGTCAACCAATTAAAACGTAAACGTATGTTTTATAGAATATAACCCCGTAATTCAGTTGTTCAATCGTCAAATCCAAAGCGCATCGCTATTTCGGTCGTAGTGCATACTTTCAAGCGAGATTTGCGGTAAGATCAGGTGAGCTAAAACGGAGTAAAACACACAAAATGCAACATGTAACCTGGCTAAACATATATCAATGAAAATATCAAATGTCGGTCCAAATCGAAGGAAAATATTCTTTAAAGCTGAACCTCATTATAAACTTAAGAAAGTCTGGCTCAACTAAATGATTTCATTGTTCATGTATATTCATCTATGTCCTTTGTTTCTCTATGATTTCTTACCAATGGGGAAGTTATAGAACTAGATGTCATATCATGTCCTGTCGAGTGAAGCCTCTTAAAATAGTTATAAAGTCCTTCATATTCACCGATCCATCTTTCTATATAAACTATATGTCAGAACACTTACAGATCTTTGTATTCATCGTTTGCCAGAGAAATGGGAAGTTATAACTGTGTAAGTTTTATTTAACCTATTTTAAACAACACCGTATTTTATGTTACATTAACATTTCTATACTATTGGTATACTGTTTCGTTTTCACTCTTACTCGGCAGGGAACCCAAAACCAGGTTTAAACTATTGGTCAATATAGTTTTTCTGTATTATAATGCACCCCTCCGCATCAAATTCTAGGTCATTCTTCTATAAAGTCATTTGCTCGGTACATGAAGATGTAATGGAGGAAGAAACATTGTAGAAACGTGTAGAAAGTAATGAAATGTTCAAAAAGAAAGATTGATGGTCATTTCCTTATTCTTATTTGAATATATTACCACAGTCCTGCATTTATTAGATATAAAGAAAAAGCATGAAAATTTATTATAATAGACCTCTTTATTTTTCAGATATTTTTGACCATTCTCAGTGGATTCGTAGCTGTTAGGAAAAGTGAAACTTGGAATCATTGCACAAGTAATCCTAGTTGTCGCTGTATCCCAAATGGTAACAAGAGTTATCAAGCAGACTGTTCAAATCTCGCAATCACACAGGTACCCCAAACTCGACCAGTTGTCAACTCTCTCAATATAGGACATAATCGAATAAGTCACATTATACACACGTTCAGTTCCACACTTGTACATTTAGATATGTCTTATAACCAGCTTCAAAATTTTACCCACGATGTGTTCGCCAACTTAACAAGCCTGAGAACTCTAAATCTAGAGGGAAATCAACTCCAACTTGACGAAAGCGTATTCAGACCACAAATCTTCCGAGACTTAAAAGCTTTACGTGAACTGAACATCAAGAAGACTACAATCAAGGTAGGGAACAACACATTTCCAAATAAAATGTGGGGACATCTCTCCTCGTTAGAGAATCTCCGAATTGACGTCATATCATCGACACAATTTGGACGACAGTTCTGCTCACTTACGTCACTGACAGCCCTGGACGTATCAGGCTTGTCGGGGTTTTGCTCAATAGAAGAAATCGGAGAGAAGTTTTTGGAAAATCTGCCTCACTTAGAAGTTCTGGATTTGTCTTCTTGTAAGATAAAAGGAATCGCAGCAGGTGCCCTGAGGAAACAACGAAATATAACGGTCCTTGATATTTCATACAATGAAAAACTTACATTTGCAAGTTTTGCAAATATAACAAGCGATTTACAGTTTTCCAAAATAAAGGTTTTCAAAGCTAACAAAATCCACTGCACGTTCGGACTGGGTACTGTGATTCAAATCCGTGACATCATGCACTTTCGGAACACACCCCTTGAAGAACTCTACCTAGAGAACAACAGGCTAGCTCTTATAGAAGGATATGCTATACGCTATTTACCTCACACTCTCAAATTAGTGTCGATCGCCCAAAATAAAATGTCAGTTGGTACTTACTTAATGGATGCCGTGTTCTTGACTGGAATGGAAAAACTTAATTTGTCCCTCCAGATGGCTTCCACCCCAATCAGTGAACTGATGGACGCTTTCACTTGTCAGAATCCTGTACGACCTTCCGATAATACAGTAGGAAGGTATTCCAACAAATACAACACAGAATCATTTCAAATGAGATATAATACTAGTATCACGGTCACTCTGCCAAGAAATTTAAGAACTCTCATACTGAGAACTTGCAGCATACGTCTGGAAGTTTTTAGGATTCTCGTTAACCCCTCCAATCAGTTGTCCTATGTTGACATTTCACAGAACGTCATTACCAGTTTCACGGGACCCATTGTAGGATTTAATAAACTGAAACATTTGGATTTATCAGATTGTCTCTGTTCTTCTATTTCAACTGGCTTATTTGATTTCACAACCTCACTGCAAGTCTTAAAGCTTAACAAAAACCTTTTAGGTCTCAGTCTGAAAGACGATTTGGACGGAGGAACCTTTAAAAATCTGGTGAATCTTCTAGAGCTAGATTTATCGGACAACCGGATTCAACTGCTGCCCGAAAAGATATTCAAAAATCTACGAAAGCTTCAAAAGCTGAATTTAAGCTCTAATTTCCTGACAGAATGGAATGTGAAGATGAATAACATGTGGAATCTGAACACAATTGATATTTCACTTAATAAGATAAGGCAACTCAGTCACGATGCTACCATCTCGTTATCAGGAATTTTAAAAAAGAGTAAACATTTTAAAATTTCACTGGCAGAAAATCCTTTTGCTTGTTCATGCGATTCTAGACATTTCCTACAGTGGTCCTCCAAATATCGCGAACATATCTCGGATTTTTATCATATGAAATGTAAGTTAGACAACGGAACAAGTTTTGGTTTCCGCGACATAGAAACAGTTTTACAACTGCTGGAAATTCAGTGTAAAAATTATCAACAGGTAACATTCGTAATTACTTCCGTCATAGTTTGTTTCTTTATGATAATTGTTTCCGGTTTGATTTACCGGTACCGATGGAAACTGCGTTACTTGTTTTATATGACGAAAAACAAATACCGATTAGCCAGCCCTATACATCGGGATACGTTTACGTTTGATGCCTTTATATCATACGCTGATGAAGACAGTGACTTCGCGGTGCGCGAGTCGATTTCCCAGCTAGAGGAATCTAGAGGATTGCGTCTGTGCCTCAGTAAGAGGGACTTCCGGCCCGGTTCAGAGATTGCAGCAAACATTACAGAAGCCATCAGCAAGAGTCGTAAGACAATCATTATTCTATCTAATCATTTCCTGAACTCTTACTGGTGTATGTATGAATTCAATATGGCAAGGATGGAGAGTATTTATACCCGGAATGGAAGAGATGTTCTGTTTATGGTTATGTATCGACACGTTACTGCTAGGATGCTGCCTTTATCAATGCTGGCTTTGGTAGAAAGTCGGTCCTATATTGAGTATCCCGACGATCCCCAAGGAGACGTCGTATTCTGGGACAAAATAGCTGAAACATGCAAAAAGCCTTCAAGATTAAACTAGCTGACGCCTGCAAAAAGCCATTAAGATTAAACTATCAGACCCCTGCCAAAAGCCTTCAAGTTAAATATTGCTGAAACCTGTAAAAAGTGTTCATGACGAATATAACTGAAATGAAATAGGTGAAGATAACGAAGATTGATCGATCTCAAAAAACTTACAAACAATACAAATCTGTGAAGAAAGCATGAAATATGAAGATAGCTAATGGTAATCAAGCTCAAAAATCCATAGGAATAATTCAAATTTGAAGCAGAGCAAACACAGACCCCAAAATAATCAGATGTAGGATCAGGTGCCTAGAAGGGGTAAGCATCCCCTGTCGACCGGTAACATCCGCCGTAACCTGTAAAAAGCCTTTAATATAAAATAGCTGAAACCTTTGAAAAGCCTTCAAGATAAAATAGCAGAAACCTGCCAGAAGTCTTCAAGATAAAACAAGCATTCTGAGAGTATTGCATAAGCAATACTAGTCCCCAACCGTCCAGCTGCAGAACTGTAGCGTTATGGTTTTATATTTTAGTCTTTGACCATAACGCTACAGATCCCGTAATGTAAATAAAGTGCTATTTACGGCGCAAGTTTTTCTGCGCACTTTGGGGATGTATTTCGCCACTTTCCAGCATTGGTCAATCTACGACCTTTCATCCCCTAATTCTAGACATATTCTCTAACCAATCTGACTATTTTATCCTTCTCCTAACCCTTTTTAGTCGTCTCTACAGACCAATAAACTCGTTATGCCTTCCGACAACAAATTCACAACTAGCGAGTTTATTGGTCTGTGGAGACGACCTTTTTTTTGGGGGGGGTATGATTTTTGGTTTTGGTTTTTGTTACTCATGTATTCTACGCATATTTTATGCCGGGGTAAAACATAATGACTTCTGTAGTAAATTTCAAATCTTTTCACAGTAATAAAAGTTACTAGTTGCTAGTACTGATTCTAGAGTCTTAAGTTAATAAGAATTGTAATGGAATCATTCTATCTTATTAATGTATACCTTCAATGCAGTTGTTCATAAACAGATAAACCATTGCTTAATGTGACAGTCTCATACAGGCATACTGCTCTTTGTAGAAGTGGAAGAAGCTCACAACAAAAATACAATAAAGCAAATATTTTACTCAGCTTCTTGAAGTTGTAATATAAGTTATAAAGGTAATTAACATGATGAAAAAGGTGAAAATAACGAACAGTGATCGATCTCAAAAAAAAAATCTACAAACAATACAAATCCTTGAACAGGGCATAAGACACGGAAATTAACCCGGACCCCCGGAAATTCCTGAGGTGAGATCAGGTGCCTTGGAGAAGTAAGCAACTCCTGTCGACTGGTTCACACCCGCCGTAAGCTAGGTATTTAATGAATCATTCAAATGACTATTGTTATTCTTTCTTACATTAAATCTAGAATACAAAACCGCTTTTCCACTTTACCATAATCAGTTACATCATGTATAGTAATTGACACTGAATTTTCCTTTCCTCGTAAAATTTTGATTTGAAACTGAACGATTGTTGCAAATTATTTGTTCTTGTTGTGTGTTGACATAGGTCAAAGGTAAAAAAGAATTTGTCTTTCAAATTCTTGATTACTCATCCTAATTTCTGTTTTCTTCCGCCTTTTGAAATTTTTTCCAACTTTTCTCTTTCGACTTTCCACTTCACAGAAATATATTTATAAACGACTCTAAATGAACATTCAATGGATAGCAACAACCATGTGATGAATTTTTCTTTATTCAACTTATGTCATATTTATTTTTTTAATCCGGTCCTCAAAAAATAATTTTAAAAAAAATATATTCCACGCTAGCTATTACTGATCTTTGAGTAAAGGATCAAACTAAAGGAGATGGGTGAACAAGGCGTGCAGAATGCCTATAGCTTCACATATATAAAAATCATAATCAATTTGTGAATTTAGTATTTAGAGTAAAGTTCTCATTATTGAAATTTATGAAATTATGATAAACAAAACTTTTCTGAGGAAAATTTTCTCGACAAAAATTTTTCTGTTATTTAAAAAATGTGGTATTCCTGGGTTTCGAACACTAGCAATAAAAATAATGAGTATCAATTTCTTTTGATTGATTGTATGTTGCTTTACGTCCCGTTCGAGTTTCACTAATATAAAGACGTCACCATATACCGGTGAAGGGCTTCCAAGTTAGACCTTTGGTCGGCACTCAGGGCCATTGAACAAAGAGGGTTCTTTATCGTGCCAACGCCTATCGTGACACGGGCCTCGGTTTTTAAGGTCTCATCCAAAGGACCCGCAGCTTTCACTTCAAAGTGCCGAGCGCTTGGCGAAGGAACAGTTGATATCTATTTTTGATCGACTAGGTCAGTAGCGGCCATGATTCGAACACACGACCTTCCGATCACGGAGCGAGCGCTCTACCGACTGAGCTACCGCGACTGAGAATGACACGCTAACCACTGCGCTACACAACTTTTGACGAATTTTGGCATTTAAATTATGTTTGTGATATGACCCTTTACTAAATGGAGAAGTATTTCTCTGAAAGATGCGAATGTTGTGTCACAAAAGTGTATTTTTAAGGTATAGTGGGTCTTTGCTCCATCTTTTTTGTTGTTGACCAAATAATGTATGTTTTTTCGCAAACTTTGAGGATAAACTTTAAAATATATGGAGCGAAGACCCACTCAAATCGAAAAATTGTGTTTTAGTATGAGAAAATGATCCTTTTTGCCCTCTCTTGTTTGTATGCTATTTCAAACGCAAATAATTTCAATCTTGGAGAAATTTTTGCAAATTATGGAGATTTTACATCAAGTATCCTTTAATTTTAGATAAAGTACCAAAGAATTTTTTTTATATTTGTTGCACTATAGGTATTGCCTTGTTCACCCATTTTTTATTTATTTTATTTTTTATTTTATTTTATTTTTTTGACACATTTATATTCTGTTCGAAAAATCACACATTTTAGTTCACGTGACCTTAAACCATTTCACAGAAATTTGTTTTTATATTCCAAAAATATACAACAAAAATTTGTTGTTTATGTTATCTCTGTTTGTAAGATAATATGAACTATTGTAGAGACCCTGGGTTAGGAACGATTAGAAGTGGTTAGAGATTTGAATAAAAAAAAGGGGGGCATACACGTATTGTTTTGACCGAGTGATCTTCCACTAATAATAAAGGAATTACTGGGAGAGAAAAATCAAGAGACATGTTAAAAATAAAAATTGTCCGGAGGACTCTAAACTCGATATATGCGGTAGGGCACATTTAAATGGCGTGTTTTCCCCCGTTATCACGCGCGTTAAAAATTGATATACCATAGAAAAAAAATAATATTCATATGTACAATTAAAAAATTTTCTTCTTTTGTCCAGAGACATATAATAGACGTCTCTGCTTTGTCGAAGCTTAATATGATCCGAGGTATCTCGAACCCGATTTGAAAACTGAGGGAAAAAATTGCACAGGATTTCTTTTTTAGCTCACCTTAGCCGAAAGCACAAGTGAGCTTTTTCTGATCAAAATTGATCCGTTGTCTGTCGTTGTCGTAAATTTTTCACATTTTCATCTTCTGGGTTAGGAAACATTAAAAGTTGTTAAAGATTTGAATGAAATAAAAAAAGTCGCATACATGTATTGTTTTGACCGAGTGATCTTACACCAATAAGAAAAGAAATACTAGGAAACATAAAATCAAGAGACACGTAAAAAATGAATTAAAATTGTCTGGAGGACTTTGAATTCGATAAATTCGGAATAAGGGGTAGGGTAGGGCACATTTAAATGCTGTGTTTTCCCCCGTCATCACGCGGGTTAAAAAGTGATATACCATAGAAAAAAATTGATATTCCTATGTACAATTAAAAAAATTTCTTCCTCAAGCTAAATATAATCCGAGGTATCTCGAACCCTATTCGAAGACAGAAAAAAAAAATTGCACAGGATTTATCTTTTTTAGCTCACCTTAGCCGAAAGCTCAAGTGAGCTTTTTCTGATCAAAATTTGTTCGTTGTCTGTCGTTGTCGTAAACTTTTCACATTTTCATCTTCTTCAAAACTACTGGGCTAATTTCAATCAAACTTAGCACATAGTATTCTTGGGTAAAGGGATTTCAAGTTATTTTCAAATAAAGGTACATACTCTTCCAAGGGGAGATAATTAAAATAGAAAATTAGGTGGGATCATTTAAAAATCTCAAGAACCACTTGGCCAAAAAAGATGAACATTATCCTGACATATAACGTAGATTCAAATCTGTTCAAATCATGACCCCGGGGGGATATTGTGGGGCCCCTATGGACGATCAAAGTTTTACAAGGGAATGCACAGGAAAAATCTTCTCCTCATGAACAGCAAAGCCATTAGTCATATTTGTATGGAAGCATCCTCAGGTAGTGAAGATTCAAGTTTGTTCAAATGAGGGAGAATGTTTTTGATTTTTATTTCAATGAGTAGATTCAGAATCACCTAGAAAACATATACTACACAAATACACCATCCTGAAACTAAGCGCCTATGTACCCGACGACCGAAATAGTGATGCATTGATTGACGACACAGATGAATCTGACATACAATTGAATCTGACTGAATAACAATTGAGAAAACCAACAGAGAATCTGATTGGTGCATTTTTTATAGGTCCGCCCACATTCTCAAATGTATTGCAGGAAAGTGGAATACATAGCAAAAAACTGAACAAGCAGGACGATACAGTACTTTGTTAAATAGGTAATTTGTAAAATGGTCTTGAAAATGAAATCTGTGCCAGGAGTTGACTTAATACCCCAGGGCATATTTCTGCGATTGAAAAACACGACCGTTCCCCATCCCCATCCCCCAATTTTCTTCTTCAGTATATCAATAAAAATAAAAGTACTTATATAGAATACTTATTAATTTGTAACGAAGATCAATAACATTTGCTGTAAAAATTGCACTGAAAAACATAAGGATTTTGATTTTCCGGTCGCTTTTTTATATCGCCATGACGGACGGTAAATAGGTATGCAGTAACAAACACACATTTGAAACTTTATTGAATTTTGAAAGTTGTGGCAATAAATCAGTTGAATAATTCCGATGTTTCACATTGTGATTTACCGACTATGAATACTTGTTTTCAGAATCAGCTGTTTTACGATAATACCCGAGTTTTCAATTGAATTTGCTTGGGTTTGCCTACCCAGTGTAATAATTCACTTGTTTACAAATACTAGGGACTAAAACATAGTGAAAAAAGATTTTTTGAAGAGAAAATTTGCAGAAATACATGCATAGTAGGATTAACAGTGTGTGCCATTTAACAAAATATATATGCACCTGTACCGTCTTTGAAAAACATATCACATGTATGTTTTTTTTTTTCCTTTTCTTTTTAATTAAAAACGTCAACCACTGTTTTCAACAATCAAACATGGCTAGGCTGTTAGACGCTTTCCAACTATATATAGGCAAAGGATACCACAAGAGAGTGGACGGGTCCCAGTCAACCAATCAAAACGTATCATTTATAGAATGTAACCCGATTACCTCGTGATTCAAAATCCAATGCGCATCGCTATTTCGGTCGTAGTGCATACTTTCAAGCGAGACTTGCGGTAAGATCAGGTGAGCTAAAACGGAGTAAAACACACAAAATGCAACATGTAAACTGGCTAAACATATATCAATGAAAATATCAAATGTCAGTCCCATCGAATGAAAGTATTTTTTAAAGCTGAAACCTCATTATAAACTTAAGAAAATCTGGCTAAACTAACTGATTTCATTGTTCATACATATTCATCTATGTCCTTTTTTTCTCTATGATTTCTTACTAATGGGGAAGTTATAGAACTAGATGTGATATCATGTCATCCTGTCGTGTGAAGCCTCTCAAAAAAGTTATGAAGTCCTTCATATTCACCTATCCATCATTCTATAGCTATGCCAGAACACTTACGGATCCATATATTCATCGTTTGTCAGAGAAATGGGAAGTTATAACTGCGTAAGTTTTATTTAACCTATTTTAAACAACACCGTATTTTATTACCTTAACATTTCTATACTATTGGTATAATGTTTCTTTATCAATCTTACTCAGCGGGGAACCCAAAACCAGGTTTAAACTATTTGTCAATATAACGTTTCTGTATTATAATGCACCCCTCCGCATCAAATTCTAGGTCATTCTTCTATAAAGTCATTTGCTCGGTACATGAAGATGTAACGCAGGAAGAAACATTGTAAAAACGTGTAGAAAATAATGAAATTCTCAAAAAGAAAGATTTGATGGTCATTTCCTTATTCTTATTTGAATATATTACCACAGTAAGAAAGATTTGATGGTCATTTTCTTATTCTTATTTGAATCTATTACCACAGTAAGAAAGATTTGATGGTCATTTCCTTATTCTTATTTGAATCTATTACCACAGTAAGAAAGATTTGATGGTCATTTCCTTATTTTTATTTAAATATATTACCACAGTAAGAAAGATTTAACGGTCATTTCCTTATTCTTATTTGAATATATTACCACAGTAAGAAAGATTTGATGGTCATTTTCTTATTCTTATTTGAATATATTACCACAGTAAGAAAGATTTGATGGTCATTTCCTTATTCTTATTTGAATATATTACCACAGTAAGAAAGATTTGATGGTCATTTTCTTATTCTTATTTGAATATATTACCACAGTAAGAAAGATTTGATGGTCATTTCCTTATTCTTATTTAAATATATTACCACAGTAAGAAAGATTTGATGGCCATTTCCTTATTCTTATTTGAATATAGTACCACAGTCCTGCGTTTATTAGATATAAAGAAAAAGCATGAAACCTTGTGGTATACCTTTACTTTTCAGATATTTTTGACCATTCTCGTCAGCTTCGTAGCTGTTAGGAAAAGTGAAACTTGGAATCATTGCACAAGTAATCCTAATTGTCGCTGTATCCCAAGTGGTAACAAGAGTTATCAAGCAGACTGTTCAAATCTCGCAATCACACAGGTACCCCAAACTCGACCAGTTGTCGACACTCTCAATATTGGACATAATCGAATAAGTCACATTATACACACGTTCAGTTCCACACTTGTACATTTAGATATGTCTTATAACCAGCTTCAAAATTTTACCCACGATGTGTTCGCCAACTTAACAAGCCTGAGAACTCTAAATCTAGAGGGAAATCAACTCCAACTGGACGAAAGCGTATTCAGACCACAAATCTTCCGAGACTTAAAAGCTTTACGTGAACTGAACATCAAGAAGACTACAATCAAGGTAGGGAACAACACATTTCCAAATAAAATGTGGGGACATCTCTCCTCGTTAGAGAATCTCCGAATTGACGTCATATCATCGACACAATTTGGACGACAGTTCTGCTCACTGACGTCTCTGACAGCCCTGGACGTATCAGGAAAATCTGCCTCACTTAGAAGTTCTGGATTTGTCTTCTTGTAAGATAAAAGGAATCGCAGCAGGTGCCCTGAGGAAACAACGAAATATAACGGTCCTTGATATTTCATACAATGAAAAACTTACATTTTCAAGTTTTGCGAATATAACAAGCGATTTACAGTTTTCCAAAATAAAGGTTTTCAGAGCTAACAAAATCCACTGCACGTTCGGACCTGGTACTGTGATTCAAATCCGTGACGTCATGCACTTTCAGAACACACCCCTTGAAGAACTCTACCTAGAGAACAACAGACTAGCTCTTATAGAAAGATATGCTATACACTATTTACCTCACACTCTCAGAATAGTGTCGATCGTCCAAAATAAAATGTCAGTTGGTACTTACTTAATGGATGCCGTGTTCTTGACTGGAATGGAAAAACTTAATTTGTCCCTCCAGATGGCTTCCACCCCAGTCAGTGAACTGATAGACGCTTTCACTTGTCAGAATCCTGTACGACCTTTCGATAATACAGTAGGAAGGTATTCCAACAAATACAACACAGAATCATTTCAAATGAATTTCACGGTAACTCTGCCAAGAAATTTAAGAACTCTCATACTGAGAACTTGCAGCATACGTCTGGAACTTTTTAAGATTCTCGTTAACCCCTCCAATCAGTTGTCCTATATTGACATTTCACAGAACGTCATTACCAGTTTCACGGGACCTATTATAGGATTTAATAAACTGAAACATTTGGATTTATCAGATTGTCTCTGTTCTTCTATTTCAACTGGCTTATTTGATTTCACAACCTCACTGCAAGTCTTAAAGCTTAACAAAAACCTTTTAGGTCTCAGTCTGAAAGACGATTTGGACGGAGCAACCTTTAAAAATCTGGTGAATCTTCTAGAGCTAGATTTATCGGACAACCGGATTCAACTGCTGCCCGAAAAGATATTCAAAAATCTACGAAGGCTTCAAAAGCTAAATTTAAGCTCTAATTTCCTGACAGAATGGAATGTGAAGATGAATAACATGTGGAATCTGAACACAATTGATATTTCACTTAATAAGATAAGGCAACTCAGTCACGATGCTACCATCTCGTTATCAGGAATTTCAAAAAAGAATAAACATTTTAAAATTTCACTGGCAGAAAATCCTTTTGTTTGTTCATGCGATTCTAGACATTTCCTACAGTGGTCCTCCAAAAATCGCGAACATATCTCGGATTTTTATCATATGAAATGTAAGTTAGACAACGGAACAAGTTTTGGTTTCTGCGACATAGAAACAGTTTTACAGTTGCTGGAAATTCAGTGTAAAAATTATCAACTGGTAACATTCGTAATTACTTCCGTCATAGTTTGTTTCTTTATAATAATTGTTTCCGGTTTGATTTACCGGTACCGATGGAAACTGCGTTACTTGTTTTATATGACAAAAAACAAATACCGATTAGCCAGCCCTATATATCGGGATACATTTACGTTTGATGCCTTTATATCATACGCTGATGAAGACAGTGACTTCGCGGTGCACGAGTCGATTTCCCAGCTAGAGGAATCTAGAGGCTTGCGTCTGTGCCTGAGTAAGAGGGACTTCCGGCCCGGTTCAGAGATTGCAGCAAACATTACAGAAGCCATCAGCAAGAGTCGTAAGACAATCATAATTCTATCTAATCATTTCCTGAACTCTTACTGGTGTATGTATGAATTCAATATGGCAAGGATGGAGAGTATTTATACCCGGAATGGAAAAGATGTTCTGTTTATGGTTATGTATCGACACGTTACTGCTAGGATGCTGCCTTTATCAATGCTGGCTTTGGTAGAAAGTCGGTCCTATATTGAGTATCCCGACGATCCCCAAGGAGACGTCGTATTCTGGGACAAAATAGCTGAAACATGCAAAAAACCTTCAAGATTAAACTAGCTGACGCCTGCAAAAGCCTTCAAGATTAAACTAGCTGACGCCTGCAAAAAGCCTTCAAGATTAAACTAGCTGATGGCTGCAAAAAGCCTTCAAGATAAAACTAGCTGACGCCTGAAAAAGGCTTTCAAGATTAAACTATTTGACACCTGCAAAAAGCTTCCAAGTTAAATATGTAAACCTGTAAAAAGCCTTCAATATAAAATAGCTGAAACCTGTAAAAAGCCTTCAAGATAAAAACAGCAGAAACCTGCAAAAAGTTCTCAAGATAAAACAAGCATTCTGAGAGTATTGCTTAAGCAATACTAGTCCCCTACCGGCAAGTGTAAACTAGTTCCCCTTAAAAATTAATAAGGCCATAATACCAGACAGACAAAGGGACAGACAGACGGCCTGACAGACGGACGGATACACGAGGAGGAAACCTATAGTCCGGTTTCCCCGGTTGGGAACTAATGACTGAAATCTGATGAAACTTTCACGTTGAAATAGCTGAATTCCGTATGAAGGCACAACGATAAAATGCTTGTAATTAAAACCTTTTTGTTTGTTTGTTTGTTTGGGTTTTTTTTTTACTCATGTATTCTACGCATATTTTATGCCGGGGTAAAACATAATGACTTCTGTAGTAAATTTCAAATCTTTTCACAGTGATAAGTTACTAGTTGTTAGTACTGATTCTAGAGTCTTAAGTTAATAAGAATTGTAATGGAATCATTCTATCTTATTAATGTATACCTTCAATGCAGTTGTTCATAAACAGATAAACTATTGCTTAATGTGACAGTCTCATACAGGCATACTGCTCTTTGTAGAAGTGGAAGAAGCTCACAACAAAAATACAATAAAGCAAATATTTTACTCAGCTTCTTGAAGTTGTAATATAAGTTATAAAGGCAATTTACATGATGAAAAAGGTGAAAATAACGAACAGTGATCGATCTCAAACAGTACAAATCCTTGAACAGGGCATAAACCACGTACGGACCCCCGGAAATTCCTGAGGTGGGATCAGGTGCCTAGGAGGAGTAAGCAATCCCTGCCGACCGGTCGTAAGCTAGGTATTTAATGAATCATTCAAATGAATATTGTTATTCTTTCTTGCACTAAATCTAGAATACAAAACTACGAAAGTAGGATAGGCTCATATTTGACAAGATAAAAAAAAAACTCGCTATAACGAGATAGTTATCTCGTTATAACGAGTTAGTATCTCGTTATAACGAGTAAGTTATCTCATTATAACGAGTTAGTTATCTCGTTATAACGAGTTAGTATCTCGTTATAACGAGTTAGTTATTTCGTTATAACGAGTTAGTATCTCGTTATAACGAGATAATTTTCTCTATATAACGAGATAGCTAACTCGTTATAACGAGTTAGTATCTCGTTATAACGAGTTAGTTATCTCGTTATAACGAGTTAGTTATCTCGTTAAACCGGGTTAGTTTTCTCTTTATTTCGAGATTTAATAGTAATATAGGAATAAAAATGGCTGTAGTTTTTAATGCCTTTGAATTTTTAGCTAGTATTTATCAGTCAAATTTAACTTGAACAATTGATAAATGGTTGAAAATTTAATTTGCTCTGGCGTTTACTTATGAGTAAATCTTGAACTATCTCGCTGTCAATAATCATATTTTGATAAGTATAGCAACTTTAAGGCGAACACATTTACACATTAATTCGTGAACGCCTCCTCAAATTGTTGAATTAGGACGCGATATTTTTCTCAAAATAATATTGCCAAATATACTTGCTTCAAACTTTGGCAATTTTCGACGACTTATACACTTTCATATATCAACTTCTATACCGCTAAAAATTAAATATCAGAGACAATATAAGTGCAACATATCGCAGGTGTTTCTGCAACATATAATATATACAATTACAGTGTGATACATATGTTATTTTTGAGACTCAGAAATATTTTGAAGAAGGGGGATGGTGAGAATCAGCAGTTAGATCATAGGCGTAGTAATAGGGGTGCTAATGTCCCCACCACCACTTTTGAAAAGGGGGCGGTCAAGAGTATCTTTGTGCCCCTTCCTCCAGTTTTTTTTTTACCTGAATAAATATCTCTCGAAAACAATGGCGAATACTCGTTGTTGGAATATCAAATCTCTTTTGTTTTCTTTTTGCTTGTCAAGTATTTTACTTGGTTTAACCCCCCCCCCCTTTGAACTTTATGACTAAGCTTATGCAGATTGTCCACGATGATTAGGAATGATAAAGCAAAAATGATATTACATCCTTCTAAGTAATAAGACATTAGATCTGCTGAAATTGACATTTTATCTAATATTCTGTCATGATTCACTGTTTATATTTTTTGCCGGGGGGGGGGGGGGGGGTTCCAAACTGTGGAGATTCACGTAGACCTTTTTGAGATTTTCTGTCTATTTGGCGGATCCTATTTTTACCACATGGTGACAAAACATCAAACCAGAGTTTACAAAACAAAAAAAAGTTTACAGAGTTTACAAAGCCAGTTCACTTTTATAATCTTTTTACTTAGGATTGATCAACGAATAGGCCTAATACTACATGTATATTATTAATACAACATTGAAGCAATGTCGTAATTATTTTCCTCATCATAATATTTATTACGTATACTTTGCAAGCATATATTTTTTTACTTCAAAAAGAGATTGGTGATTTTTTTTTTGATTTTTTTTTTTTTTGGGGGGGGGGGGTTAATAAATAGAGGATATTCAATGTTTTGTAGTTGATATGGAATTTATTTCACGAGTGGGACAGGATTTTTTTTTATATTTTCATGAGTGCGAAGCACGAGTGAAAATATCAAAAATCCTGTCTCACGATACAATACATATTTCTAGGCATAATTTATGCTTGAAATACACCTTAATTAATGTGTAAACTTTAGATATTAAACTTTCATTCTATACCCAAAAAGGATCACAAACATGTCAACTGTTTTTACTATTGTCAAAGTGAGGCATGTGAATTTCCTACATGCACTACATTTCAGCTTGCTGACCTTCACCTTTTTATTGTGGCTTCCGTAGAATAAAGAGCCCCCAAAGTTTTTTTTATTCTACCACATTGATAATAACGCAAAAATACATATTGTACATGAGATTTCATGCCAAATTGGTAAATTAAAATGTTTCTTTCTTTTAATAAACAAAAGAAATGTATAAATTATTAAGTGATAAGTACAGCATTAGTTCTTGAAATTCATCGTATTTATTATTGAGGGGAAGGAGGGATTGATGATAAAAACAACGTGAATTTAGTTTTTTGTCAGACATTGAATTTTGATCATCCCCTTTTAGACGATAAAATTGAACTGGTATTCCTTGTTAACAGGAAAGGAATTATCAAAATATGGACGTTAAAGCCTAACAAATGGTATCAGATCATGCATTTTTTATTGCTACAAATATTACGCAAAAATTACAATTTTAACAAAGTCAAGAAAGCTTGAACAGGGCAGTTAAGAGGGCTGGGTGGTTGTGGCCATTTTCAGACTATATTGATCTCCTTTAGAAGAAGAGCTCCATATAAAGATATACAAAAATGATCAAATTTTAAAACTAAAATGTATGAAATTTTTGTTTGCCAAATGATAGTTGACAGCTTAAGATATCATATCTAAAAAATTAGGTTATATCTGATGGTTAATTTGTTGACCCCCCAGCCTCTTAAATCAGCCAGAGTATATCATTTTCCTGATCTCTTTGAACAAGTTGACAAAATTTTGACGTTATATACATTCCATATGAAGATGACACTAATTCTATTTTGCAATTTTAAGGTACAACACAACAACATGAGGCGGTCATAAGTTTCCGTATATTTGTCTTCGGTCTTTTTCAATAAACAATACTAATCAAAGGCCTAACACAAAAAACTAGTATGCTGTTGTTCCATAAAATCTTTATCACTCACACTTAAAACAAATATGATCATCTCGCATCTGTATATTTCCTATAAATAATGGTCTATTCTCAACTCTTTAGATCAATTTTTATCTCGTTACAACGAGATAACTAACTCGTTATAACGAGGATAACTAACTCGTTATAACGAGATAATTATCTCGTTATATCGAGATAACTAACTCGTTATTACGAGACAATTACCTCGTTATAACGAGTTAAATATTTTTTTTGTCTTGTCAAAAATTAGCCTATCCGGCTTTCGTACAAAACCGCTTTTCCATTTTACCATATGAATTTACATCATGTATACTAATTGACACTGAAATTTCCTCGTAAAATTTTGATTTGAAACTGAACGATAATTGCAAATTATCTGTGTCTTGTTGTGTGTTGACAAAGGTCAAAGGTCAAAAATTCTGTCTTTCAAATCCTTGATTACTCATCCTAATTTCTGTTTTCTTCCGCCTTTTGAATTTTTCCCCACTTTTCTCTTTAGTTGTTCCACTTCACAGTAATATATTTATAAACGACTCTAAATGAACATTCAATGGATAGCAATTACTATTTGATGATTTTATCTTATTCAACTTAGGTCATATTTATTTTTTTAATCAGGTCCTCAAAAAAGAATAAAAAATATTCCACGCTAGCTATTCTGACCTTTGTTTAAAGAATCAAACTGGACTTTGTTGCACATTTATATTCTGTTTGAAAAATCACACATTTTAGTCCACGTGACCTTAAACCTTTTCACAGAAAATTGTTTTGATATTCCACAAATATGCAACAAAAAATTGTTGTTTATGTTATCTTTGGTTTGTAACATAATATGAACTTTTGTAAAGACCCTCGGTTAGGAAACATTAAAAGATGTTACAGATTTGAATGAAATAAAAAAGGTCGCATGCATGTATTGTTTTGACCGAGTGATCTTACACCAATAAGTGCACCGATAAGAAAAGAAATACTGGGAAACATAAAATCAAGAGACACGTGAAAAATAAATTAAAATTGTCTGGAGGACTTTGAATTCGGAATAAGGGGTAGGGTAGGGCACATTTAATGCTGTGTTTTCCCCCGTCATCATGCGGGTTAAAAAGTC